GCTTTATTAATTCTAAGACGTCTGTATCGTGTGGAGTTCCTTTGTCCTTTTCCTCATCTTTGTCAAATCAGCAACCAAATTTATTAAAAACCCGCTGCAGAACAAAACGGGGAGAAGAGTAAACACAAAAACATCGTCATCCCATATGTCGCTGGAGTATCTGAAAAACTCTGAAGGATTTTCTCCAAACACAACATTCCAATATAATTTAAACCCAACAGGGCCCTCAGATAGAGGCTGGTCCATCCCAAGGACAGAACCCCCAAACCCAAACTGAACAATGTGTCTGCAGACCAGTGCAGTGAGGACTGTTCAGACCTCTGTATTGGAGAAACTAAACAACCTTTCCACAGATACATGGCTCAACACCATGAGCCAGCTCTTCAGGACAAGACTCAGCAGTTCAACTACACCTCAAGGGCAATCTTTTGAGGACCAAATATTTATATGTTGGACAGAGAAGACAGCTGGTTTGACAGGGGGGTGAAGGAGGCCATTCACGTCAAACGAGAAAAAACAACTTTAAACAGAAGAGGAGGTTTCAGATGTCAACTTTCAAAAACTTATAATGCAGCTTTTGGCCTGATTCCTCTTCAGCCCCACTCCAATTCACACCTTCATGCAGGTGACCAAAACCTGTCTGTGAGCCAGGCAGACAGAGAGTCTAATGAGCCTCCATTGTGCGGGGCGAGTAGTTCCTGCCTAATCTGCAGCTGAATCTAGGTACACAGCCAGACCTCTCATGCACTTCTATAAGGCTTGGAACTCCACACTGCATACATTGTAGAATTGATAAAGCCTCCCGGGTGGGAAGTGAACCGTCTTCGACTTCAGAATAGAAGTCCAGTTGTTGTTGTTTTTTTTTTTTTTTTTTGATCATGACCTGGATGACTTGAGAATCTTCCAATGTTGCCAGATCTCATGATAGAAACAAGCAACCAGCTCTATGGAAACAAGCCCAAAACAAGTCCAACTGGCAACCCACCACATTGTGTAAAACAGAGGTTGTTTTTAAACAGTATAAACATACATTTATTATGGCATTACACATGTCACAATTAACAGCAAAATTATACTAAACATTTTGAATAACATACTTTTAAGTTCTGATTAAAAACAACATTTTGCATATGTAACAAATATGTAAAATATATATTTTTCTACATATTCTTAAAAACAAAACATTCTGACATCTACGTGTGAGTGGAGCCCCCTAGTGGTCGGCCACAGTATGAGTGTTTGTTTGGGTGTGCGCCTGTCGCCTCGCCAACTTGGACGGGAGCGATAAACAGGAAATGGGGGGGCGTGGAAGGGACAAACTACCTACTACCACTCGTCTTTTGCTTTTTTTGTGCGTAGCTGGAAGATAATCAACTAGTTTTACTCGGAAAGAAAGTTGAGCCCAAATAAGACACTTCACGTTCAAAACAAGCCCAAAAAACTGCAATCCATGACTCTCAAGATTTGCAAGTGACTTTAGAAAAAAACGAGCCAAAGTCGCTTATAATAAGCGGACTTGGCAACACGGATCTTCACCAACATACTCACTGCTTTGTAAAGTTTTATTTACAACTGTTTTAAATAAAGTTTTTTTGTGTTTAAATTGAAATTAGCTCAATTTTCATAAGTTATATTTAAATGGACATAAGTAATCGGATTGAACAGCCGTTCAGAATAAAAATGCGTCATGTAAACACCCCATTCAGATTCAGGGGGGAGTGGTAGCGCAGAGGTTAGAAGATGGGCCGATGATCGGAAAGTTGCAGGTTCAACTCCCGGTACCATCAACATCAAAATGTGGGTGGAATAGGTGGAACGCCCACACCTGTCTCCACCCTCATTCGCCCCATTCTGGGCCCCTGAGCAAGGCCCTTAACCACCACCATCTGCTCTCTAAACAGGTCTCTCTTGAAAATGAGTTCTCGTGACTCAAAGAGACTACCTGGATAAATAAAGGGTAAATGGGAAAAAAAAAATTCTGTTGATTCAGCTTGATCCGAAATTTGTAATCAGAATGAGATGGGTGGATTATGCCGATTCATAATCCGAACGGTGTGCATGTAAACACTTAATCTGTTAATTTTTTTCTGATTGTGGGAAAACTGACCTGACTGCGCATGTGCGACCTTTGTCTATCTCACGTATTTCTGCCTGACTATGCTAAAATTTCGGGGAAGCAAAACTGGTCGGTGAGTGATACATTTCTACTAGAAACTTTGAAAGAGCTCAAAATGATCTGTATTACCTGTAGGTCAGTCAGGGAGTGCAGTAACTTCTCCACCGTCATTAAAACCTGTTGCAGGTCCATTTTGGGCGCTCAGGGTTGTTTACATTCATCCTGGAAGTAGAACTACTACTTCTGTGTTTTTTTAAGGAAAGTTTACCACTCTGCGCATGCTAGTACTTCTATTCTGATTTTTTTTTTTCATTTACCCTTTATTTATCCAGGTAGTCTCATTGAGTCACGAGAACCCATTTTTAAGAGAGACCTGTTTAGGGAGCAGATGGTGGGGGTTAAGGGGCTTGCTCAGGGGCCCAGAGTGGGGCGAATGAGGGTGGAGGCAGGTGTGGGTGTTCCACCTTTTCCACACACATTTTGATATTGACGGTACCGGGAATTAAACCTGCAACTTTCCGATCACAGGCCCATATTCTAACCTCTGTGCCACCACTCTCCAATATAAAATAATAATACCGGTAATAAAATAAAAGCCTGTATGTAAACGCTCGTTGTGAACAGATTGTGCCCATCTAAATGATACATTTGATTTATTTAATCTGAAAACATTTCAATCCAGTCAAAAAATGTGCGCGTGTAAACATAGCTACTGATATACAGACTCGGGTCATGTTTGAGACTCCCCTCACAGAATGATTGTTTTTCTCCTTCAGTGTTCCCTTTCTTAATGCTGTTTAGAACCTCAGTTCCGTCCATTACTGTGTGGAGGTATATCTGCCTTCTTCGGCCTCGGCTCTTGCTGCGGGGCTTTCGTGTTGTCTTTCATTGCCTGCACGCTCCTGTTGTCGCCCTCTCTCAGTCTCTTTGTCATATCCTGTCTCTTTCTTGAGGCTATCCTCCCACAGTGCTGGAATGATTCCTCCTTGAATTTTTCTCTTTGCTCAGTATCAGGCTGTGACTTCTTCACAACTCCTCACAGCAAAACTTTGCCCGTTTTGCGTTCAACCACTGAGACTGTAACTATCTAAAGAAAAAGAATGTCCATTATACAGGTCCTTCTCAAAAAATTAGCATATTGTGATAAAGGTCATTATTTTCCATAATGTAATGATAAAAATGAAACTTTCATATATTTCAGATTCATTGCACACCAACTGAAATATTTCAGGTCACAGCTGTAAGAGCTGGTGACATATATTCAGTAACATATGCATAGCACTTTAGCTTATATTAAATGAAAAGTGTTAAATGTTATTAGCATTAGTCACTTGCGATGCTGTCTCACTTGTGGAGGTTTGTTCCGGGTTCCTAGCTGCAGTGTGGGATCCTCTGCACTCCTGTGCATGAAGGACAGACTTTAAGTTCAAAGTTTTTGTCTATTCATTGTGCCATAAGACTAATCATGCTAACGGGGCTAACACGACGTCCAAACGTCTTGTGGTAAAACTCACCCAAGTGCTATCGGCTATTAGCTTCTCAATGACGTCGGAAATGATGGTTTGTATCTCTGGTAAGGCTACGTTGGAAAAATATATCCAACTGGAGACGATGTAGCGAGGCTCAACTTAGTCCAAATATTTTCAGAATCCGATATCCTCAACGAAAAAACTTCCACACTGCCGCCATTTAGAATTTTCCTCTCTGCCGTAATCAGATCAGGTAGCGCGTGACGTCATCACGTTGTGCTGGCACTGCAGGCATCCTTGTCACTAGGTTTTCGTACAAAAACACTGTCTTTTATATCGGTGAGTTTTGATGAAATGGCCGATGCTGATAATGAATTTTATCGCTAATATCGGCCGATACTGATATCATGCCGATAATATCGTGCATCTCTAATATTTACCGGTACTTATTATGTAACTTAAACATTTGACATATTTAAGTCTGTTTTTCTGTGCAGGACTTAGAATATTATTTGCAAACAGGTCTACAAATGTAAATAAAGATTGTAATTTTGCCATAAACTGTAGTTACAATTAAAAGGTTCATCAGAGTGATGTACTGTAATTATTTCAAGGATTCAAGGTTCTTTGTTGTCATTCACATCACATGTGGTGCATAAGGTGGAATGAAATTGTGTACACAGGATCCCAGTTACATCCAACAATAACAAAATGTAAAGTGTAAAAAGAAACAGTGGATAAGGATGTAAGATATACGCTAAACGAACGCCCAAGATGAAAGATATTTGCTAGTCACTAATAGTGCAAAACAATACACTGAACAACAGCAGCACAATTCTCAAAGGTTCGGCTATAATTTACACGCTTAATGCGAGCACTGACTTAAAGAATACTTTTAAGCACTAATAGTACAAAAACAATACGCCAAACACAGCAGACGAACATTCTGTTTCTATGAATTTCTTAAAATTCTGAATTCTTAATTGAATTTATTTTTTGTTGTATTGGTATAAATCCCTCTTTTATTTGCTGACCTTTAATAAAGTGTGTGGTGAGGCCAAGCTTCGACGTTTTCCACTTCATTTGACATTAAATCATTTGTTCAATTTATTCAAAGGTACTTACAAGCAAGCAGAGCATTAGAGGGTAATTTGATTACCGGTACCTAGTTTCTTAATGGAAAACACATCAGCATATGAACTGGAGAGTGTGAAGATTAAACAAGCCTTCTTCAAATTAAGTGATGATCTGTTTATCCACTGATCTGCAGCTGCCACATGTGTAAACATCTCTATTCATTTTTTGCTGCACCTGTCGCTCTTTCAGTGTTATATACAATATGATGGTGAAAGGCAGCGCTGTATTTGTTCTTGTATTATAACTCTGGCTTTTTTTTTTTTTTTTTTGCCCCCTAGGTTGGCTTCCTAAAGACGCAGCATCGTTATGAAATAGTGTTCACCCTGCCGGAGGTCCCCGCTCTAGGAAAAAATGTGTGTCCAGCTCCAATACCAAATCCCCACCTCCAGATCTCTGACATTAAACCTGCAGCAGACGGTGAGTTCATGAGCCATCAAAGAGAGCCGTTGTTATTTCAAAGAGGCTTTTAACGTGTAACAGATCTACCAGTTTATTAAAAAAAAAACACTGATGTACAGTACATTAAAACTGGTTTTATTGGATTTAACTCTGGATGCAAATTTAATCATTTTAAACTATTGATTCAGATGAAAAGTAAAATGCCAGCCGTCAAAATTAGGCACAATTTCTAGAAACAAAACCTAATCTCTCCTTTTATTATTAGATTTACATGCTGTCCACTATGTTTAACACTATTATCACAATATTTATTAAGCTTCCGTGTCTCGCATAAGATTTGAATACAGCGAGAAACCTTTGCACTCTGCCCTCATGTTACAGTATAACAGGCACTGAGCAGTGACCCACATGCTGCAGCTTTATTTCAGCAGAGATAAACACGAGCAGTCAAGTGTTTGTCCAGATGTTGTTCCTCAGTTAAGGATGTAGTTTCAGGTTCTAAATGCACCAACAAGACCTTATAAATGAAGTCACACTGTAAATGTTAGTTCTTTGAGCCTAGGTTTGTTTGTCTTTATGATACAGCAGATATACTCCATGTGTATTCTTAACAAAAGGTTGTCTAAAGCAACAGCAGCAGACGAGAAGCTGAGCATTACAAAGTTTTCAGGGACAGTACGCAGCTGAAGATCTGGTAAAAGTCTGCAAAGTTTAATGAGCAACACAGTGGAAGTTTCAGGTCAGCACATTAAAAACAAAAATAAATGTAAATTTTGGGGGTTTAAACTATTTTAAATAAAATATTTTTGTAACAATGTATACAAGTTCACTAATATCTTTGTGTTCTAACTACTATCTGAAAATTAATAATAATTTTTAAAAAAAAGTATAAGTAAGGAGAGAAAAAGTCTTCGTCCCTGGGTGGGCTTGAACCACCAACCTTTCGGTTAACAGCCGAACGCGCTAACCGATTGCGCCACAGAGACTGAATGGGTTTTGAGGTGTCTGCTTTCCTTTACATACCGTATTTTTTGAACTATAAATATCTCTTTGGCCAGTCCTGCGACATATTTCCGTTCATATCCATTATTTATTTCCTTTTAATGATGCATGTTGGCTTCAAACTATGGAATGGACTTCCTGAACGGAGGTGTGTCTCATGAGCCCAGAGTAATAAGACCCGCCTCACATTCAGGAAATCCATTTCATAGTTTGCAGCCAGCTACAACGTGAGGACTGAGTTAGCAGCACTGTGGCTAACAGCTAACCAACTTTTCATCTAAACATGTCCGCTATGTGGAAGTATTTTACACTAGAAACACCACAAAACAAGACAGCAACGTGCAATGTCTGCAGAGCCATAGCGCCACATTAAACCGCGGTAAAGTTAGTTTTACGTTGGACATTCGAGCTCTGTGGTTTCAGCGGGGCGCTGCTCTTTGCTCAACCCAAAACAGGCAACTCGACCCCGGCCAGCCGCGTCCAATCTGCCCTGTTCAGTCTGCCCGTCTCTGAGGAGGGACAGACTGAGTGCGGCTGACCGAAATCAGGCTGCCTGCTTCAAATTGAACAAGAAGAAGACATCCCTGAATTCCCAGAGCTCAAATGTTTATTGAGAAGTTGCTAACCAACCACTATCAGTTGTAGAAAACGAAAGATTTCACAGCTTGATACTTGCAGCCAAGATATAGTTTACCCTCCAGGAGATATTTATCAGTACAACAGTAGCCTTTTTTGACATGCATGCATAGATTTGTTCAAATTGTACTTGACAGGAGATTATTACCGTCTCGTATAAAATCATCGATGATGATGATATCAGCACTGGATCGGTATCGGCCCATATTCAGATTTAGGTATCGGGATCAGATCGAAAGTTTAAAAAAGTGAATCGGTGCATCCTATTTTCAACTAAAAAAGTAACGATTAAACTGACAACTCTGATTTTACATCAGACACAGCATTACTGCGGTTAGCCGGTAGAAGACAGATCTCTATCATAGGCTAAATTTCTATAGTTTCTACCGTGTACCGTTTATATTGTGCATTCCTAGTTCATATCAGTATGAATGAATATTTAAAGCGTCAGTCAAAAATTATGTTATGAATATGGGGGAAATAACGTATACAAGTCACTTCGGTGTATAAGTCGCAGCACTGGCAAATCTATGAAAGGAACTGTGACTTACATGCTGGAAAATACGGTAAATTCCATCCATCCATCCATTACCTTTACCCGCTTATTCCATTTTGGGTCACGGGGGTCGCTGGTGCCCATGTCCAGCAATCATTGTGCGAGGGGCGGGGTACACCCTGGACGGGTCGCAAGTCCTTCACAGGGCCACATAGAGACAAACGAGACAAACAACCATTCACTCTCTCTCTCTCACCTAGGGACAATTTAGAGTTACCAGTCAGCCTAACATGCATGTTTTTGGTCTGTGGGAGGAAACCGGAGTACCCGGAGAAAACCCACGCATGCATGGAGAGAACATGCAAACTCCACCCAGAAAGGCCCTTGAACCGGGGACGGTAAATTCCATTAAAAAAAAAAGTTTTGAACACTAAAAGTCATCCTCGTCCCTGGGTGGGCTTGAACCACCAACCTTTCGGTTAACAGCCGAACGCGCTAACCGATTGCGCCACAGAGACTGAATGGGTTATGAGGTGTCTGCTTTCCTTTACGTACATAAATATTTCTGGCCAGTCCTACAGCATATAGTCCGAAGCGACTTTTATACATTTTTTTCCCCCACTATTCATGACGCAATTTTTGACTGACGAGAGAGGGCCCTCTAGGCTTTTGACAACTACCCTCCTCCTCCCTTCCCATCTTCCTCCGGAGTTAGCGGAGTTGTTCAGAAGCGACACAGGATGGTGACTTTCTTGTCGGACTCGTTGGCTTGTTATGTTAATTAAGCCTGTTCAGGATCTAGGTATGTTCCGTGTGTGCGCGTCGCGCGGGAACATATAACCGTTAGAAGCTAAGTCCATGGGGGCAGGGGCGCAACCTGTGTGTTTGCTGACAGACTCGGAAAAGGAAGGGAAGGGGCGGGGGGGTCTGTCTTTCCTCACAGCTGCTGCAGCTTCAGTGAGACATGAGAGAGACCGGGCAAGAGCGGCTTGTTGAGTTAAAATAATAAAGCACTACCCGAACCGAGCCTTTAGTCCAGTCCCTCAGCGACCACTGAGCGCCAGGCCACCGGAAAATGTCCCTGCGCTCCCAATGGTCAGTCAGCCCCTGTGTGTTATTGTTATTTCAGATTAAATGTCTGTTCTTGCTCTTTGTGAAATACACTTCGAAATAAATGTGATTTATACTCCGAAGCGACTTATATGTTTTTTTTCTCTTCATGATGTGTTTATTTGACTGACGCGACATATACTCCGCAGCGACGTATAATGCGGAAAATATTGTATATAATATTTCCCAGGCATATGGGTGATTTCATGAGATATGCTATATTTCAGTTATAATAAGTGTCATATATAAAATAAAATAAAAAACGAGCTTTTGAAAAAACTAAAAGTCATCTTTGACTGTCCCTGGGTGGGCTTGAACCACCAACCTTTCGTTAATCGCCCAACGCGCTAACCAATTGTGACACAGAAACTGAATGAGTTATGGGGCCCCAGCTTTCCTTTACATATTTCTACGGGCATAAGTGTGATTTCATGAGACATGCTGTATTTCAGTTATAGTACCGTATTTTCCGGTATTTAAGTTGCCTCAGCGTATAAGTCGCGTTTATTATGCGTTACCGCTGACCCCCGGGAAACATGGCCCAGTGTCATGCCAAAAATCGATTGGCAGCTGCGGGAGCACACACGGGAAGACTCTCTGTTGCGGTTCTTTGACATTTAACAGGATTAACACTTAAAAACAATTGTTTGTTTGCATTATACAAACATTGTTTACATTATAGCAAAGGTGTGTCTCAGTTTAACTTTTTCTTTAATGAATGCACTTTAATGGTCAATGTTTGGCGGGGGGCAGAGGAGGTAGCAGTACAAGAACAACAAATAGGCCTACTGGTAGTTGTCAAAAGCCTAGAGGGCCCTCTCACACCTCTAACGGCTGCAAATGGTAATGTTTATTCCAGTTCATATTAGGAATGTGCAATATGGCATAAAATTCATATCACGATATGTATTGTGAAGGGTGGCGATAACAATATATATCGCAATATGTTTTTGGTAAAAAATTTGCAATAGGAATTTAAAAAAAGCGTAGGGTGTCCTTTTGCCATCATATATTTTGAATTAAGAAAATTCCACTACTAGGTCCAGATCGTTTTTAAATAATAAACAAATCAAGTATTGGGCAAGTAATAAGTATTAAGTTATAAGTATAAGTATCAAGTAATAAGTATTCTTGTAGTGCAAAATATATCAAATGTGGTTTTAGCCATATGTTTTAAACAAAATAATATGTTGTTAACTCTTAACAGTTTTCGGTATTCTTACTTAAGAAATGAACAACAACAGAGCATTTTACACTGAAACACTTCACCCTCCAACCCTCTAGTGGGCGTCTCATTCCGCTGTAATGGAGAGCTGACGCAAAATGACTGTGGCTTTGACCAGAGGGTCTCGCAGTAAAATCACACAACACAGCGTTCTTTCACAGATCAGAGAGCAGGTTTCTCTAAAGCTGACCAATGCTTACTTTAACTTTCGACAAAAAAACCCTTTGGACGTAACGCAATATTTTGCGCATGCGTCAGAATACAACAACACTACGACAAGCCGGCTGTAGTTAGCTTGTTGCTTCGCTACTTAGCTCTGAAAGAAAAGACTTTAACTCCACTTACGCACAGTTTTCAACTAAAAAAAGTAACGATTAAATCTGACATGTTTTTACACTTGAACACCACTTACGCAGTTTTCAACTTAAAAAGGTAACAATTAAACTGACAACTCTGACTTTACATCAGACACAGCATTACTGCGGTTAGCCGGTAGAAGACAGATCTCTACCGTAGGATAATTTCTATAGTTTCTACCGTGTACCGTTT